AAAGAAACCAACCAGTCTTTGTTCAGATTGTGGTTTCAACTCCTACTACCAGCATCATTTAAAAAGCTTAAGCAAAAAGAAAATTTAAACTGCTCACAGGAGCAAGCTGTGGTTGCACCATCCACTGCACTCCAGCCTAGATGACAGAGAGAGACCTTGTCTTAGAAAAAAACCAAGTAGTTATTTTCTGCATCTCCTCTTGGATGTCTAACAGGCTTCTCGAACTTAATATATCCAATTAAATTTAATTGGATATATTAAGTTCGAGAAGCCTGTTAGACATCCAAGAGGAGATGCAGAGCAGAAAATCGTTGTTCAAGGGATGAGACAATGATAGAGCTATACATTTGGGAATCATTGTATACAGATGGAACTTAAAGCCACGTAACTGGATGAGATCAACCCAGGAAGTGAGGGCAGACAGGGCAGAAGAGAGTGTTGGGTATTCCAACATTTCAAGATGGGAGGAGGAGCAGCAGCAAGCAAATGAGACTAAGCTGGAGGAGCTAGTGAGGTAGAAAGATAAGGAAGCATTTTCAGAGGGAAATAGTGTTCAATGGTGTTGAAAACTTCTGAGGTATCAGGAAAGACTGTTTCAGTAGGTAGCTAGTAGGTATGAGTAAGGCAGGATGCCACATACACTAGGAGTGTTGTGGTTAACGGTTTCTCAAAAGTAATAATTGCTGTATAGATAAGTAATAACTGCCGGGGAAAGGCAAATGCAGTTTTCTAATAGATAGAAGACACCTGAGGTCAGGCGCAGTGGCTCACACCTGTAATCTCAGCACTTTGAGGGGCCGAGGCAGGTGGATCACCTGAGGTCAGGAGTTAAGAGACCAGCCTGGCCAACATGGTGAAATCCTGTCTCCACTAAGGAATACAAAAATTAGCTGGGCATGATGGTGCATGCCTGTAATTTCAGCTACTCAGGAGGCTGAGGCAGAAGAAACATTTGAACCTGGGAGGTGGAGGTTGCAGTGAGCCGAGATAGCAATACTGCACTCTAGCCTGGGCAACAGAGTGAGCCTCCATCTCAAACACCTGAAACTGATCAGCAGCTTCCCAACAAGATCTAAGGAGTGGGGAGAAGGAACGCAAGATCCCAGAAGTATGCCAACATTTAAAACCCCAAGCCAAGAGGTCAAGCTATGTACTTGGTATCTGAAGTGGCCTGCTTGGCCCTCTTCCAAGTGTACTTTCCTTCATTTTTGTCCTTTCCTTACTGTTCTAAAGCTTTTTAATAAACTTTCAATACTGCTCTGAAAAAAACAATAAAATTTTCCTCCAGGATGAAGAAAACATCCATCCCCCTGGAAGAAATGAACCTTAATGCAGGTAGGCAGCAATTTTATTTTTGTTTGTAATTTTGACAATTTTAAGGTATCATTGATTCTGAAATGTATTATTTCTATATTAGAGCTGTTAAAAGGTGAAAAATTGTATGTTTAAAATAAATGGAGTGTATTCTCTACATGCAAATAGAAGGAAATGCTCAAAAATTTGGCAATGGAGACAAATTTGTTGGATTACATATGTATTTTACAAAATTTCACCATGATTATGTGTTACACATATTTAAATGTTTACCTTAATTGAGATTCTCATGGTTGTCTATTTGCAAAATTTGATCTCCTCTGGTAATCTATTTTGAATTACTGCCAACCTTTGGTAATGAATCTCAGACAATGAGAATTTTTTTAATTTTTATTTTATTTTTTTCTTCTTTTTGTATGTCGATGTATGCACCTTGTGCATAATAATTACCTACTAGGTACCATCTCTCTTTTATCATCTCTCTTAAGGGCAGTGACTTGGAAGTGGTTGGTTATAACCCCAGTTTGCAAAAGAGGAACTTAAGTTCCTTGAGGTCAAAGTAACTTGTCTAACAATTTCTGTTGGAAAGCAGTGGAACTTAGAGTCTGGGCTTATCCTATTCCACTAACCTCTCTAGCTGCCATTTTAAAATTCAAAATAAAGCCAGTGCCAACAATTGTAGACATACCAGCCACGAGGAAGGGCAAAAAGCACCTTTGAACCAGTTGGTTTCAAAGCTGTCTACAAATCTGGGGTGTATTCTTTCCTGTGTCTCCATCCTCACACCCTTGAGATGCCATGCCACAAAAGCAGAGCGCTTTGTTTTAACAAGATCCTAGGTGATGGAGGCTCTTTCAGATGATACCTGAGGAGGAGCTGCAAATTCAAAACCAGGAGCCCCTTCTCTCAGGCTGCATGACCCACGTGCATCTCAGCAGAGTAGGTTGCCGACTGAGTGCCTTTGATTCTGCTATCCTCTAGCAGTTAACTTTCAACTCCTTTCACCTGGCCCAACCCTAGTCTCTACTCCCAGTTTTAAAAAGAAAAAGGCTTGTGGAAGATTGGAAGTGGGAGGATTGGGAAAGGCTGCACGCCGAGCACCACCTGTGCACCATCACTACCCTGTGCCTGTTCCTGATCCTGCCGCTCAGCACCCTGCTTTCCCGCAGGAGCCTGGTCCAGTCCTGCTTTATCCCTCCACTCTGAAGAGGAGGATTGTTGTTCTGTCCCCAAGCACACACCTTTCATTTCTCTTTTGGTTCTCACATCCAATTAATTGTTTCACTTTATAGTTTGCAGGCGTAAGAGGGTTTCTTTGTTTTTTGAGAGGGAGTCTTGCTCTGTCGCCCAGGCTGGAGCGCAGTGGCACAGTGTAGGCTCACTGCAACCTCCGCTTCCTGAGCCAAGCGATTCTCCTGCTTCAGCCTCCCGAGAGTAGCTGAGATTACAGGCGCCTGTCACCACACCTGGCTAATTTTTGTATTTTAGTAGAGATGGGGTTTCACTACATAGGTCAAGCTGATCTCAAACTCTTAACCTCAAATGATCCGCCCGCCTCGGCCTCCCAAAGTGTTGCGATTATAGGCAGGAGCCATCACTCCTGGCCACAGAGTGTTTATTAAGGAGAAACTTGGGACATTTGAGAAAGGAAGGTGCATTAGTCTGTTCTCACACTGCCATGAAGGGAATACCTACGACTGGAAAATTTATAAAGAAAAGAGGTTTAATTGACTCACAGTTCCACATGGCTGGGGAGGTCTCAAGAAACTCAGAATCGTGCTGAAAAAGCACCTCTCCACAGGGCGACAGACGAGAACCTCAGCACCCAGAGAAGAGGGAAGCTTCTTATAAAACCATCAGGTCTCGCGAGAACTAACTCACTATCGCGAGAACTAACTCACTATCACGAGAACAGGATGGGGAAAAAGCGCCCCATAATTCAATTATCTCCACCTGGTCCCTCCCGCAAGCCTTGGAGATTGTGGGAACTACAATTCAAGATGAGATTTAAGTGGGAACACAGAGCCAACCATATCAGGAGGGATGTGCAATTGGCAGAATTTTAGAGAGAAAGGCCCCCCAAGCTGGAGGGCTGGGGTACAGAGATGAGTGAGCCAATGCCTCCATCCTGACCAGCCACAGCAATGTACTACTGCCCCATTTTACTTGGGACTATTAAGCTCATTCTTTTCCTGAGGGAAGAGGAATTTTAAACTTGGCAGCTTGATTTATCAGCCTCCTCATAGAAGAAACCTGAAGCTCACAGCTGACGAGTCCGTGCCTGCAGCAGCTCTGAGGGTGGGACCTGGGGGTAATCACAGCCCTGGTGGTGCAAATATGCTAGTGGGGTGGCCTTATGGCTGCTCCTTGCCACCTGATACTGTCCTTGTACCAGTGGTTTCTAGGGAGCTTTTGTTAAAAGCCAACATGAAGTGTGACCCACTCCATGGTTGTCTCCTCTAGCCCAGCCAGTGTGAGTCCTGCCACCAGGAAAAACCCCAGTGGTCCCTGCCCAGCATTCAGAACTCAGACCTGAAGCATCCCTTATCTCTGAGTCCATACCCGGCCCTGTTCCAGGAGGAAGCCCCAGGCCTGGTCAGTTGGAGAATTTTTAAAATTTCAGAGCTTTGGAAAAGGGCTATGTTTGTTTTGCCTGCCATAGGTCGTTATGGTTAGCAGGTATAGGAAAGAACTTCTGAAACACACCCAATCCTTCCATTAAGAGACCAGGTGGCGGGTGGGGCAGGGTAAAGAGGGATAAGTGGTTATGAGCATTGTCTCTGGAATCAGGACCATGCTTAGATTTCACCTTTGACACACTGATGGTGGTGTGGCCTTGGGCAACTTACTTACATAGTTTCATTTTCTTCATTTTTAAAACAGTAATAATTGTGTTGTCAAGAGAACTCAATGAAATAATGTAAAATGACTACTATGTAACATCACTGTTACTATTTCTAAACTGGTCTGTGAAAGCAACAACTTGATAATAAGACTTATTTTTAACATTCCTTTGCTGTTCTTCATTGTGATCCCCTTAACATTTTCAAAACTCTATGCTCACACATAAGACTTCTGAAAATGTATTATCTCTTCAGTGCTTCCTTTTAAAATGATATATTCCCTATTCCAGCAAATAGAAAAAGGGGGTATACTCCTGACTAGCATAAGCTTGACGCAAATACCAGACAAAAAGGGAAAATTCACAGGCCAATTTCACTGAATAGAGAAAATAGCAAAAATCCCAAACAAACCAAATTGGTCAGCAAACCAAATTCAGCAACATGGAGTGAGAATTACACATCATGGCCAAGTTGGATTTATTCCAGAAATGCAGTCTGACATTAGAAAATCAGGCCAGGCACGGTGGCTCACACCTGTAATCCCAGCACTTTGGGAAGCTGAGGCAGGCGGATCACCTGAGGTGAGGAGTTAGAGACCAGCCAGGACAACATGGTGAAACCCCGTCTCTACTAAAAATACACACACACACACAAATAGCTAGGTGTGGTGGTGCTTGCCTGTAATCCTAGCTACTCGGGATGCTGAGGCAAGAGAATCTCCTGAACCCGGGAGGTGGAGGTTGCAGTGAGCTGAGATCACTGCAACCTGGTGACAGAGCAAAACTCCATCTCAAAAAAAAAAAAAAAAAAAAAGAAAGAAAGAAAAAAAGAAAATCAGTATAATTTGTCACATTAACAAAATAAATAATATGATAGTCTCAAATAGATATAGCAAAAGCATCTGATGAAATTAAATGTTCATACATTCTTTTGCAAAAAATAATTCTTAGCAAATTGGTAGTAGAAGGGAACTTCCTAAATCTGATAAAAGATATTTACCAAAAACCCACAGCAAACATCATATTAATGAAGTCTCTGGTATATCCCTTTTGAGTACAGTTTTGAATGCCCAGAAGTTTTGATATGTTCCTTTATTTCTGAAACTTGTTGCTTTTCACTCTTAACTGTTTTTGTTCTTTTGAAACTACTGTATCCTTTTTGTTTGCTTTGAAATGATATACCTTGTCTTTCATCTTTGCTAAATGATTCATCTCATTGTTTTCCTCAACTACTGTGTTCATAATGTCTTTCTTTTATGCTTAGTGCTTCTGCTTCAAAAAGACAAAAATCAAAATGTAATTTTTTTCTCAGTGTGAATAACATTGAGATCAGATACCATGTATGACAGTGTTGAAAAATTATTACCACAGAAACTAGGATAGTGTCATTTGTTACAGAGTTGTCAATCTGACTGCAATGGACCAGTTTGTGCATTCCAACAGAAGACATTAAATCTTGAAAATGTCTACAATTAGTCCTGTGTTATTAAAATGTTCCTTAATGTCCCTCTAAACATATAAGCCAGTGTAATCTTTATTTAATCATAGGAGTCTTAAAAATTAATTCATGTGATTACATCTTGTAACAATACGGCTCGGTTGTATGACAGACGTCCCTAGAAAATAATAGGGAGCAATATAAATGAGAGAAGCAGACAGCAAGAGCGATTATTTGTATTAGCAGCCATGTGGATTGTTGAATCCCATTTGCAACCTCAAGGAACTAGCCATGAACCTTGCCAATTGGCCACTTACTCTGTTATTTATTTGTCATTATGAATTCTACATTGTTCTACGTTTAATATTAGCCACATTTTAATACATCACATTGAAATAAAAGCACATTTTCAAAAATTACATTGTATTATATCTAAATAAACCTCTAATTATACAAAAATTATCATTTTCATGTTCTATTATGCTTTAATAACATGGAAAAATCAAAATTGCTTTTCTTGATTTTCCCCAAGGACAGCTCAATGTACTTAAAACACAACTTAGTTATAAAACAGAAGCTTATCCTATATAGATAGTGGTTGAAGAAATATTCTCTGTGTAATTAAAATGTGTAGAGAAGGCATATCATTTTCATTATGTCAGAAAAAATTTGTACTTTATATTTTGGTATAATAAAGTATACGATATTCTAGTATTAGATTGGTACAGTGAATTCCTATTTACCTGGAATAATTATTAAAAATGTGTCCTGGTAAATTTAATATCACAGTTACCTAAGAGTTATAACTGAATTAAAAGATAATTTCAGAAAATCATAGCACTAAAACTATAAGCAGCTTAATTTAATCTTTGATGAATTAGGAAACAATTCACAAACTTATAGTGCCGCATTTCATAATGACCCTCACTTATTATAGGATAAAACTAAAAATTCTAGTTATTTGATTTTTTTGATTAGTTGGATTATGAATAAGCCGTGTATTTTGGAAAGGTGATGAAAGCTGTGTCATATATACATTCCTGTATTTACCTATTAATCTTTCTTACCCCTGTTAATGGGCATTATAGAAAAGAGAGATTAAAACTTATACCCCATTGGAAAGCAGACTTGAAAATTACTCCAGTTACTCTAAACCAGAGTGTTTCAAAGAATGATCTGTGTCCAACCTGTCTTAGAATTATGTTGGGTATTTGTTAGGTATGCAGATTCCTGAACCCTTCACCAGACTTGCTGAATTGCTGTATCTGGGAAAGACCCCAGGATATTAACAAACTCTCCAAGTAATTCTGATTTTTAAGTTTGCTACTGCCATACAGTTTCTGAATCTGATTGTGGTATCAATCTAGGGAGGATCATCAGAGCAGCTCCAAATAATTCTTCCCATGAATGTTGATATACGGAAAAAAGTGACAAAGATTGAAATGGGTGTGTTACTTCCCACAGAGTAGAAGAAAGGAAATAATATGTTATGCCCTCAGGCCAAAGGAATTTTAGAGGCAAAGTTGGAAACAGTTTAGAGCTATTTTATTCATGTTGCCAATATCAATGATTACTTAGTATACGGGGTTTCTAATATATTTTTCCTTATTGACATGAAGTAACATGAAATTAGCTGACTCCCATTTGATTCACTTGGAAGATGTTTTGACTGTTTTAATGCTTTGCTTTTACTTCAGATACTATAGTAAATGTCTCTTTTGGGTCTTTTTCCACAAAATGTCTTGAATTTTTCAGAACTTTGGTTGTGATACAGTTACATATTTTTTATCAACATGAACCATTTTTACTTGCTCTTGTAACTATTATCACTGGGAACACAGTATAAATGGTTTCTAGAAGGAATTCTTGTTTTATTTCATTTTATGTTACCATGAAAAGATAAGTGGCTGATAGTTTAATCTGCTCTATTTGTTTTCTCTGTGAGAGCTGAAACACATAAATTGTACTTTAATCATTCCTCCCACCACTATAAAGGGTCAGTCAACAGCATGTATTAAGTATCCTTTACCCTTTGAGGAGTCACGAAAGGATGAAGACTCTCACTTCCTCTGCAAATCTCTTTATTACTATTGAGAATTTAGTCAGTATCCAAGTCTTGCCAAGTTTTCCCCTATATTTCTACTAGCCACATATCCAAAAGTGAGCATGGCTCACTTTGGCTCAGGAGCAGCCTTTATTGGGCCACAAGCCAGTTGTGAAGGTTGACCTTACTTTCTCTTCCACTTGTCTTCTCCAAAATACCCCCAACAGGCCAGGCACAGTGGCTCATACTTGGGGTAATCTCAGCACTTTGGGAGGCTGAAGCAGGAGGATTGCTTGAGCCCAGAAGTTCGAGACCAGCCTGAGCAACCTGGCAAAACTCTGTCTCTACCAAAAAAAAAAAAAAAAAAAAAAATTAGCCAGGCACGGTGGTACACACCTGTGGTCCCAACTACTTGGGAGGCTGAGGTGAGAGGATCCCTTGAGCCCGGGAGGTGGAGGTTGCTATAAGCTGTGATCATGCCATTGCACTCCAGCCTGGGTAACAGAGCCAGACTGTGCCTCAAAAAAACAACAACAACAACAACAACAACAACAACAAAACAGAAAAGAAAAGAAATAATACTCCCCAAGGATGCAGACTGCAGGTCTTTTGTGACCTCTAGCTTCATTGTGAGCTGTTCTTGGGCACTGTCAATCATCAATTGTGAATCACAGTCCTTCCCTGTATCTACAAGAGAAGTGAGTGGAAACCATATCTCTTCTCCTTGCTGCTTTGACCTTTCAGTCTCCACAAAATTAGACACCAGGGCCTGGCAAGGCAATTCCAGAATAGAATTACAAAGTAGGAGAGAAAAGGGTTAAAGTTTTGCAGCTCTACTTTGAATTTTCCCTTGCATCACCCAAGGGTCTTATGGTTTCAGACAGAGTCAGCTTCCTGAAAGCTTCTGCTTGACCAGCCTGTAGGTTCAAGTTATTACTCCAAATGGATCCCCTTCTTTGAATCTTTCAACTGTCCCTACTCCTCCACTGAAAGGAGCCTTATAGTCTGAGCCCTTCTTCCTTCCTACTCATGCCATACACTGTCAATCAAGAAAGGCCACAGGCTTGAGCTGAGAAAACCATGGGGAAAATATCCCTGGTTGTGTGTGTGTGTGTGTGTGTGTGTGTCTGTCTGTCTGTCTGTGTTCGTGTGTGTAGGTTGGGGGATGATGGGTGAACTGACTGTGGGCCCTCCAATCCATGTTTCTATTCAATATTCTCTCCAGTAGGAACTCTGACCCTATAATTCCTTAGCTAACCAACCCATACATTAAACATGCACATGCACCCACATATACATTTTCATATACATTATACAGTGTAGTATCAAACCTGTATTGAGAATCGAATATAGCCATAATAGTAATAAGGCTCATGCCCTGACTGGAAAATAAATAGATCTGGAAAGAAAACTGACATCTTTACTGATCTCTTCAAGATCTTCAAGAGAGCTGGACTAACGATGAATTTGTCTCCATTTCACACTGGTCACATTACACAAGTTTTTTGTTTGTTTCAGAATTTGTCTCTGACGGAAATATGAGGACAGGGGTGGGAGTGAGTTTACCAGTTTCTCTCTAGGACTGCCAGATTTAGCGAATGAAAATATAGAATGCCCAGTTAAACTTGGATTTCTGGCAAACCATGAATAATGTTTTAGTGTAAGTTTGCCCCATGCAATACTTAGGATATACTTATACTAAAAAATGTTTTTGATTTTTATCTAAGCTTCAAATGTATCTGGATACTCTGCATTTTATCTGGCAACTTTATTCCTACCCTATCTCCTTGTTCTTCGTGAGTCTCATTGTTACCATTTAGTCTAGGGGTCCTCATCATCTCAAGTCTGTGTATCTGCAATACTTACCTGGGTGAGCTTCCCAACACTACTCTTCTTCCGATCTGCCCCACTGCCCACTTTTTAGAAACTGTCTTCTTCCTTTTCTCTCTTTCTCATCCCTCCATCCCTCCCTCCTTCTCTCCCTGTCTTCCTTCCTTCCTTCCTTTCTTCTCTCTCTCTTTTTCACTTTCTCTCTCTCCTCTTTCTTCTTTCTTTTTTTTCTGACAGTCTCTCTGTCATCTGGGCTGGAATGCAGTGGTATGGTCATGGCTCACAGTAGCCTTGATATCCCAGGCTCGAGTGGTCCTTCCACCTTAGCCTCCCTAGTAGCTGGGACTACAGGCACATGCCATCAACCTGGCTGATTTAAATAAAAAAAAATTTTCTTGTAAAGATGGGGTCTCCCTCTATTGACCAGGCTGGTCTCAAACTACTCAAGTGGTCCTTCTGCCTTGGCCTCTCAGGGTGCTAGGATTATAGGCATAAACCACCACACCTGGCTAGAAGCTACTTTCATTAAGTTCTCTTTTACTCAAGAAATGATGATGACTCCTATTGCTTTCCAATTTGACTTCCAGTCAGTATGCACCTATATACCACAATTAAAAAATTTTAATTTAAACTTTTAAGTTTTCCTTCTTTCACACTCCACATTTTATCTGTCAGCAAATCCAGTGGGCTTATCCTTCCAAATATATCTGCAATTTAATCACTTTCTACCACCGCCACTACATATTTGCTACTGCAAATCACCTCTTGTCTCACCTGGGCTATTTCAAGACCTCCTAATAAGGTCTGTACAAGCCTTATCAGAATAGCCAGAGTTATTCTTAAAATGTGAGTCAGATCATGTCACTGCTGCACTGAAAACACCATAATAGCCTCGTCTCACCATGAAAGCCCAAGTCTTTATAATGATCCGTAAGCTCCTACAAGGTTGCCTCCCAGGTCACAGCTCCTAATGCCCTCCCCATCTCCTCACTGCCCTTTTTACGCTCTACTCCCTAACCTGGCCTCTGGGATGGGTCTCCTATGGAGCAGGCCTGCTTTCACCTTGGGCACAGCCTTTTTGCTTGCTGTTTCCTTCCCTCCCAGATATTTGAATGGCTTGTTTTCTTCTTTTAGGTCATTACCGTCACTTCCCCAACACTTTTAGCAATGTTTTCTGCCTTATCAGTAGTTACCACTCTTTAACTTACTAAATATTTTACTGATTTATCTTGTTTATTGTCTATCTAGTACATAGCAAGCATTTGGTAAATATTTGAGTGAATGAATGAATGACTGCAAAGATGATTTTCTTGTTAAAGATATTTTAAAAACTGCATCATATATTTTGATGGCAATTCTAAAAGTGATTTTTCACAAAATAGTTTGAATAATCATTAAATGTGTGTGTAGTCTTCTAATAGTATTGCTTTGAGGGAGTTAAAAATTTAAAAAAATTATAAAAATAATTACTGTTAATAACTTTAGATATAAATATAAAAAGTAATTTTGAAGAAAAATCTGTTGAAGAGATTATTAAATCTGAATGGATTTCTTTAAGAGGTAATTATGCATACAAACATAGGACTCTGAGCTGTGAAGAGAAACTATGAATCATGAGTCATTTAAGACAGAGGAAATCATATCAGATAAGGCTTTAAAGGCAAAGAGTGACTTTGTAGTGGATGAAAGTTGAGAAGGAATGATAAAAATTAATAATATTAGGACTATGTTGATACGCATTAAGGACTTACCATGTGCTAGCATGGGGTTCAGTGCTAAGCACCACGTGTGGTAGGTACCTTTGCTTTTCCATTTTATAGACAGAAGTGTCAAGGCTTTAGAGAAGTTTCTTGTCCACTGCCCGCAGCTTTCATGGTAGAAGCCACACTTGGATAGATTTGTCTAATACCAAAGCCCAAGTCCCTGACTCCTGAGTGGTCCTGACTCTTACTGGTGATTGGTCTGTAATAGCAGCTTGTAGGGTGAAAATCTCCTGAGGCACCATTTTGGAGAGCAACATGCCATTTTCCAGGAAACCTAACACAGCCAGAGTTTCCTCTAACACTGGACCAGATTGTAGCCATTTTGGCTGAACAACGGATAAAAGAGCTGATCTGAATTTAGGGCCAAGTTGTTTGAAAAATACACACCTTTAGAATTGGACATACGCACCCATAGGGTGAGATGCTGGCAATACAAGAAGCCCTTAGAAACAGAGACTGAGTAAATGAAGAGCAGAATCAAGTCTCCTATCAGAATGCTTCTGTACCATTTAAAATGTTAATTCTTCCCATTGCCCTGAGGTGAGTGTGTGTGTGTGTGTGTGTGTGTGTGTGTGTGTGTGTGGTGTGTAGTTGATTTTGCCTCTTCTGCTTTATATTATAAAACCTTGCCAAAAGCCAAGCAGCTTTGCTGGTCTAGAGATGATTACTTAATTCTTTATAATATGGAAAATCTTATTAAATATTTATTACTTACTGCAGTATATGCAAGGCAAAATCTGGCAGAGTCAGGCACCACGTCAATCACAGGAGTACAGAGACTTCAACTTTCTCCAGAATTAATCAACAAAAGGGATAGCTTCAACATTGACAAACGGAAAATACCATAATTGGAGATGCAGCCAAATCACTTCACTATGATGAAAAGAAGGAAAATAGTCACGTTAATTTGGTCTTCTCTTTGCTTAGGAGTCCCACCTGATTTCCTGGTAGTGAGTGCTTATTAAGTTAATGCACTTGGTGACTGCGGGCTGGACGGTGTCATGGCAATGGAGATCATTTTTCAGAATCTGAGAGAAAAATTCAGGCATCTCCCTTACCCGGTCAGTATTGATGGTGTGCCTCCCATGTTGTTGAGAACAGTTCTTAACCCTATTCCCACTGTAGCGCACCGAGGCAGGAGGCATGCTTCTATCAGTATAAAACAGTGTTCTCAGGGGTAAGAGTAATAACCGCCCACTTCCCACTATAGAAAAGCAGAATTTGGGGAGTTTGAATTGAGTGTAGTTTGAAGAATTACATCCCAGTAAGAGGTATTACTCTCACCCTGCAATTGAGCATTAATTGGTTTAGAATAGTGGCACTTGTTTTGTAGTCATTGGCATCCACCTAAGATGCTTCTTGGGGTATGTGAAGTGGGGGCTGTCCCAAGGCTTTGTGCACTGTCTGAGGGGATTTTATTAAAGAGCTGAGAAGAGCACCTTGGGGAGGTTACAGCTTGGATGCCTGCCATGTTTACCTATTCTGTTTGAAAGAGGCTGCCCCAAGCACAGCCCTATAAAAAGATAGCAACACAGTCTGTTTCTTTAGGATAGGTGGCCATGTTCTGTTGGCATGTGACCTTTCCATCTCAGCCACAACTGAAGAACTTGCACCTGGCTGGGGGGTGGCCATTCTATAGGCTGCTCAGTGGCTTGTGAGACAGACTCAATATTAAGAATAGTGATAGAATCAGATTCTCCCTGGGGCATTTGGTTATGAGATATACGGAAAGAGTTGGCACCTGGTTGTGGGAGCAGAAGTGGAAAGACAGGCAGAGAGACAAAGAGCTGTGGTTGCGCAACTTGAATTATTCTGTGTTCTGAAGACATTTCATGAGTTGCAGCTGTGGTATGCCAGAGAACTGGCTGTGTGCATGCCTTCCCAGCCCTTCCCTCAGAGACATCTGGTTGGTGGGAGTATTTATACCATGTGAATTGGTTAATGCTGCAGATCAGGGCCTCTATCCCTTTCATTCAGATCTGGTTGTTAAATGTTTACCAGCACACTACTGGGTTGGGGGAGGGATGGCGTAGGAAGCAGGCAGAAGCAGCTACATCTTCTGGGTCTTTTGCCTTAAAAATAAATTTGTTGAACGGAATATGGTAACATGATTGTTAAGACTATAATAATGAAGACATTTAAAAAGCATTGTGAAATATATGATTAAAATATCAGTAGTTAAACTCCAAAACTCACCGGAATGCGGTCAAGAGGGTGGTACCTTTCCTGTTCCCCTAGCTAACAAAGGCACAGGCCCCACCCACCATGCCCACAAAGGATGATCTGACAAGCCAGGTAAGCCTCTGGCCTTATTTCCACATGTATTCTTTACCTCGGTTACTTGAGGTAACCCGAGTGCATACCAGTTACTTAAAACCACAAGAGCCCAATGAATACAATTGTTGAATGCCATCTTTTTTTTTTTTTTTTGTAATGTAGAGAAAATAAGACAGATTAGTATGGTAAAAGTATATATACACTTTAGAATGAGGATTTAATTCTGATACTACTTCACCTCTTCCTGGTAGCATATTATTTATCTATGCCTCAGTATCCTGAGCTGTAAAACAGGGATAAAAAAATAATCTCAGAGATATTTGTAAGGATTAAATGAGATATCAGGTACAAAACATCTAGCACAGTGTCTGGCACTTATCATGCACTCAGTAACTTTAGTTCTTTTTTTTCTGCCACACTTAGTATATTTATTCAAGCCTTTAGAATAGCTGTTGGCATTGCTGGCAGTGATGTCAGCTATGTTGACAAAATGAACTATTTTTACTAATATGAATTAGGTTGTAATGATATTGCATTCTTTATGATTTTGTGTTTCTGTATGTAAGGTTCTTCACTAAAATATTTAAAATATAGTCATAATTATTACAATCCTTTGAAACATGCTTTACACTTAGGGAGCTCCTATATTCTGGTCTACAAATGGCTGTGCTCATTTTATTTTTGTTTTTAAACAAACATTTGGACTATGGGTAAAGAACTTTGTAAGGTGTTGTGGGGGAAGTAGAAAAACAGACACTTATGTAACACAAGGCTATAAAAAAAGAGGAAACGGAGGGAATACTGAAGAGTTTCTTCAGTATTTCTTTTCAACTACCTAGATTCTAGGTACCTAATTGAATAGTCATATGTTATGTGTCATTTAAATCCTTCATTCATTTCACTACAATTTAGTCATCACTACTTTATCTGGGTCATCTACCCTTAGTCCCATTATAACTGCCAGTGCATTAAGGGGGAAATTTGCCCATTTGCCATATGTAATTCACAGGATGTGGTGTTTTTCAGTACCAGATGTTTTGAGGGGAGCCACTTGGAATGGACTGTTTTTTGGCTTATGTGTTTTAATACTTTGCCAGAATTGAATTTGTTTTGAAACAAGGTTTCTGATTTTCAGATATAGCATTTTCAAACAAATAGTGTGATTTACAAATTACCATCACTTTAGTTTATGTTGAAATAATTCACACTCTAAATCTGTTTGACATTTACCCTTTAAGTATTTTGGATCAATAAATCATTTCTGTAGCATTTAGCATCTTAAAATGTTCATAAGTAATTACTTAACATCCTACATCTCCAGGTCCTGCCCCATTAGTTTGAGCGAAAAAATATATTATAGTAATTAAGACATAATTATGTTGTCTTGAAAGCTAAGGGTCATTTGGACTTGATTACCCAAGGAGTTATCAGTGCCAAGGAAAAGTCAGGCAACTACAGGCTTGGGCCTGTAATTAAACATCTAGGACAGACATTTTGTTCATCAGAGGTGGCACCTTCTGAATGAATTACAGCACTGCATTTTAGACAAGCTACAGTAAATACAAAACTAGTGTGTGGAGGGGGTGGGGAGTGGAGATGAATAGAGATTGGAGGTGGAGAGAAAGACTGGTGAAAACTTAAGCATTTTGTTGTGAAAAACTATTATTCAGCCAGCCTGCCTGGGCTGCATATACGATGTTCAAATATAAGTTTGGGATGAGCCCCTTTGCAATTCTGGCTAAGAACACACACACATACTCACCCCCGCTCTGCTGGAGAGGGCCGGCTCACCTGGCACACAGGAGGCTGGTTCTCTGTATTACAGCGAGTGCTTGTTCAGTATGTACAGGATGGCCAAGTAGCTAACTGGCAGCGCTGCTCCTGCCTTACTCTCCCACACTTAGAGAAGTATTTGCCACAACTTTTTAACCCTTCACCCTCAGCGCTCTCAACCCCTGACACGTCTTCCCACAGGCTCGCTGTCCGGTCTCTTCGTGTTGGTTTGTCCGTCTCCCACTCCTTCAGGGGTTTCAGGTGGAACATGCCAGGTGGCTCTGCTCTGGGATCTCGAGTTGGAAAGGGATGCCTGCCCTCTGTCAGAGGGCGGGCCGGCCGCCCTGGGGCGTTAGAGGTGTAGGAGGAGGAGCAGGAGGACCGAGCAAAGGAGGTGGGAGTTGGCGGCCGCGGAGCCCCGGGCAGCGGGCCCCGTCCGCGGCCGGCGCGCTCCACAGTCCTCCCTCGCTCTTCTCCTATGCTCATATTTGGACTCTGCGGCCCGTGCCCAGGAATTTCCCGTCATGCCTCCCGCCGCCCCGTCCGTCGCCCGGAGCCGGGGAGGGAGGGAGAGAGGTTCGGACAGCGGCGGCGGCTGCTTGGCCTTTCCATGAGCCCGCGGCGGACCCTCCCGCGCCCCCTCTCGCTTTGCCTCTGCCTCTGCCTCTGCCTCTGCCTGGCCGCGGCCGCTGCTCTGGGAAGTGCGCAGTCCGGTAAGTTCGGGCTCTCCTCCCCTCCTCACCTCACCCCTCCCACCCCGAACCTGCCACGTTAGGGTGTGACCGGAGCCCAGATCCCCTCCACGCCCCTTCGGCCTTCTCCGGGGACAGCCCCTGAATCTGCCGAGAAGGGGAGCAGAAGGTTTGCGCCCCGCACCAGCGATGAGGGGCCGAACAGAAGGAGGTCAGGGCTGGCTTCTCCCCCATCCGCCGACGGGAGGCGTCTGGCCGCCTCACAGACACCTTATCCCGTCCCGGGAGCAAGCCTGAAACCTCGGGAGCCTCTCGCCAGGCGCGGGCCCCTGTGAGAGCGATCTGGCGGGGCAGCCCGCGGGAGCCAGGAGAGGGGGCCATCCCGAGCCCTCTGCTCTGTGCGTCGGCCCAGCCAAGGTTGCCGCTCAAATAACGGGCCCGGGGCGTGGGAACCGGCCCGCCAGGCCTGCGCTTTTCGCCGTGCGCCTCGGTGAGGACTGGGGCTCAGGGCCACGGGCGGGCGGCGGGGAGGGGCACGCCCGGGGGCGCACCCGCCGCTTGCCCTCCCTGCGCGGCTGCCACACTGCTGGGCCAGGCTCCCGCGGGCCAACTGGCATTTCACAGGCCAAAATCGAACAGAACCCTGAGTTTGCCAGGTACCAGTTTTGTTTTGTTTTTAAATAGAAAAAGACATCCAAGTCTATTTTTGAACTTTTACACTGGACTATTTCAAGTCTAACTGTGTGAATGAAAAGTGCTGTTCCTGCCTTATTTGGTTTCAGGCTGATAGCTATCGGAAGTGGCAGTTCTGAAGTCGTTACAGTAAGATGTTATGAGATAATCTTGAATCACGTGGAAAATATTAGGGGGAATTTAATGTCAGATTATTATTTTAAAAAGCAATTATTTGAAAGTACAAACGTAGAGTTAAAGGTAAATGTGAAATTGCACGGACTTTTACATTTGAGATGAGTAGTCATCAAAGCTTCTTGCTTCTTAATTTTATCTGGAGTGGAAGAACATAGATTATAATTCCTTACAGCTGAGACTACTTAGGAGATTTTAGTTTGCTTTTGTTTTTGCTATCAATAGATTAAATTGTCAAATAAGCTATGTCAAACTAGGATTCATAAATTGGTTGAAAGCTGACTCTATGAAGCAGAGATTATTTTCAGTACTCTCTGGTTTATCTCTTCATATTTTCATTTGCAGTGCTGTTGGCAAAATTGAGTTTCAAAGACAGTTTTGTCTATTAAAAACCTTCAGGGTTCATATAACTTATAAAATTGTCAGTTCGGATTAATGGCAGATATTTACAATATTTAACTTGATTACATTTGTAATTTGTAAATAGCAATTTGAGCAGTGATACCAGTTTCATGTTTGTTTCTGCATAGCATTGTTTTTCAAAAAAACGCTGCTTTTTATAGACTCATATTTTAGGAGTAACTTCAATAGCACTCCTTGGGAAATACAGCAGGCTCTAATTTCACATTTTTATCAATGGATTTCTGAAAAATACTGTGCTGGATAGCAAAGAGTGGATTTTATTGCCAGGAAATAGATGTATGCTTTCTTTTTCCTTAGTGATGTATTGACTTACCTAGTACTTGTGGTGAAATGGCCTTCAAAGACCAAAATCCACTGTAGTGGCCCCTTGCCAATAATTTTGAACACCAAGTTCATATTTGGACCATTAAAACATATATTCTTTTAATTTTGGTCCCAGTTGATATAATCAGTTTAATTTCTGATGACTTTTGTTAGGGCCCTATATGAATATCTGGAAATTTTTATATTAAGATAAGTAGCTCTTTGCCACTTAGAATTTTGTCACAGTGCCTAAAATGCCTGTCTGCCAAGGTTGCAGCATACAATGTAATTTAGATTTTGAATCAACACATTGCTTTTTGTTTTTAAAAGTGCTTGTTCCAATATTTTAACTAAGATGTTAATCTATTAAGTCAGAAATCCTTACTGTTTTACTCAAGTCAAAAGAATATGCAAAGACTATCTCAACAGTAAGATTAATAAGTTTTTCTAATACATATGCCATTTATTAATTTAAAAATAGATTTTAAGGCCACATGTGGTGGCTCATGCCTGAAATCCAGCACTTTGGGAGGCTGAGGTGGGAGGATCACTTGAACTGAGGAGTTCAAGTTGCCTGGGCAACATAGGGAGACCCTGTCTCTACAAAAATTTTTTAAAAATTAGCTGGGCATAGTGAATCATGCCTGTGGTCTCAACTACTTGGGAAGCCGAAGTGGGAGGATTGCTTGGGCCAGGGAGGTTGAGGCTGTGCTGAGCCATGATCTCACCACTGCAATTTTGGTTCTGTCATAATCTGGTCACAATCTCTTTAATTTATCTGCACCTGTATAATTTATCATAGTTATGGATTTGGTTGATGAATTTGATTCCCATGTGTAGCTTATTTCTTGGTAAAATTATTAAGTTGGACAATTTCCATGTCTCTTCTAACTCCAAGATCCTATAATACTGTTTTTGTTTATATAACTCTGCAGAGCCACCTACTACATGTGGTTCAAAATTCTGATTGTCAGCCTGTGACTTGCTATACATGTCAAACTTGTCTACCATAGCCAGATGTGATGGGTGTGGTCCAGCTTTGGAGAGTTCGGATTTGTCTCAGAATTGTCTTAATACCTGGAACGTGCACAAAGATATATACATACCTGGATGGATTCCATGTTAAGCTTCTATTACTTTGTCTTCCTCATCTGATAGCAGAAAGTGCTGATTATGTCATAGGGTAAATGCCTAACTGCTTTTTGGAGATAGTTAAGCCCAGGCCTTAAGACAGTTTGATATTCAGTTTTGTTACTTAGGTCTGGGTTAGGGATACCACCAGAGAGCATCCAAACATTCTTGTGGTTGGAAAGACTAGTTATCTGGGAGCATTCCAGATGAAATAGCCTATAATGGGTTGTCAACTTTTGATCTTACCTCAGAGAAGATTGAATTAGATCTACCTATCTGATTTAGCAGAATTAAATTGGATTTGGATAGGAGGGTAATCAGCTATTTAATTTGCCACTTGTTAGCATTTCTTATTTCTTAAGGATTTACTTTGAATATTCTGTATTTTCTCTTTCCTGGACATAATAGATTTTCCTTTTAAAATGCTCAGCGCAGTCCCTAATCCCTGTTCATGTATTTGTTTGTAAAGTATGCTGAAGTCATATTTATGGCTTTACGGGAAATACAAAGAAGGAAAGTATGGAAAAGATCAGTAATGCATCAAACAATCGACTTTATGAGAAAGTTTGGTTATTGCTTCATTTAAGCTCCTGTTGCAAGTAACAGAAATGAACTAGCTTCAGCAAAAAGGAAGAAAGGAATTTGTTGGAAAACCATTGGAAGTCAAATGCAGGCAGAACTTATTTGGGCCTGAGATCAGGAACTGGAAAACCTAGAACATTCCCTTTCTCTAGTCTTGGACTTTGTTTCATTGTTCTTTCTTTGCTGACTTTTTTTTTTTTCTTCTTCATAGTTGGATGTGGCTACTCAGCAGCTCCTGAGTATTTATGTGTCCCTACATAAGGAGAGGCTATATTATTGAGCTTGATTGTAAATTCCAGAGAGGTAGAGCTTGATAGACAGTTTAGGTCACATGGTTGACCTAGATTTTCCCTAAAGTCCCTTCTAATTTTAGAGTTATCTGGTGTACATAGTACAGCCATGTAGATGGCTTGATTTTGCATTTTTCCATTTTATGTTATGAGTTCATAGTCCTTAAAATGTATACTTTGCTCTTGATTGTGGTGTGTGTAGAAGTGTGTGTCACCCTCAGTGGGATTCTAGGATGTTAGAGCAGTTCCTACTGCTGCAGGAATGCTGAGGAGGAAGCCTATGGAGAGTAACTGGAATGTAGCACCACATTCAGGAATTGTGGTGCTTGAGATCCAGCTCAATTGTGAACATTTTCTCTGATAACAACTAATTCACTCTGCAGATAATCATCTGCTTAGTTTCAAGAATTCACTGAATAAAATGCTTACCTCAAGTGGCTCTTTAGGACAAGTTTATTAAATCTATATGAGTGGTAGAGATATTTGAAATAGTGATAGCTTAGGGAACGAGAATTCATCAGTTGTTTTCCTATTTCTTACATGTAGCTAACATTTTCTGCCTCTACTTTTCCTTTAGGCTGTTCTTACTGCCTGGACCTCTTCTGTATCAGAACTTAAGAAGTAGTTAAGGCCTCTGTCAGATGTAGTTTGCGAAGTCTTCCTCATATCACAGAATTTGTAATTTCCTTGTGCTTCTAAGGCATTTTGGACTGTGACTGGAGTACAACTTTTACAATATTGTCTTGTGTTGTAGTTAAGTCCATATATATTGATCATCTTCACCAAACTACAAATTCTATTATGTCAGTGAATCACCTAGAATGGTTTTTCTTTCCCTCCCTCCCTCTCTCTCTCTTTCTTTCTTTCCTTCCTTCTTTCTTTCTTTCTCTTTCTTTCTTTCTTTCTTTCTTTCTTTCTTTCCTTCCTTCCTTCTTTCTTTCTTTCTTTCTTTCTTTCTTTCTTTCTTTCTTTCTTTCTTTCCTCTCTCTCTTTTCTCTCTTTGCTCTCTCTCTCTTTCTTTTCTTTTCTTTCTCTCTTTCTTTCTTTCTTTCTTTCTTTCTTTCTTTCTTTCTTTCTTTCTTTCTTTCCTTTCTTTCTTCCTTTCTTTCTTCCTTTCTCTCTCTCTCTCTCTCTCTCTCTCTCTCTCTCTCTCTCTCTCTCTCTCTTTCTTTCTTTCTTTCTTTCTTT